TAACAAGGGAGCAAGAATGGAACCTTGTGGAACACCCGAAATCAAAGGAGCAGTGCTAGAGGACTAGTCGCCAATCATGACCGAAACCAGTTTAATACATTACCTCCCAGGCCAAATAAATGCTTAAGCTTCACAAGTAAAATAGAGTGGTCGACCGTGTCAAAAGCGGCTGACAGGTCGAGCAGAGCTAAGGCGACAGGGCGTCCCGCATCCCGGGATAATACAATATCATTATGTACTTTGATTAATGTGGATTCAGTCCTATGTTTAGATCTGAATCCGGATTTAAATTTGTCAACCATTTCCAGCCGATCTAAGTGAGCTTGGAGCTGGGCAGAGACCAACTTCTCCATAACTTTAGACAAAAAAGGGAGAAGAGATATCGGGCGAAAATTTCCTACCAGAGTTGAGTCAAGGTTGGGCTTTTTGAGCAGTGGTCTAATTATCGCATGCTTCAGAGTCTGGGGGACTATCCCTGAGCTGAAGCAGGAGTTGATAAAAATGACCACCCAAGGACCAATGATGTCAATCGACTCTTTGAAAATCTTTCCAGGTAGGGGGTCCAAAGGGGACGCTGCAGATTTCAGTTGACACACACATTTCTTAAGTTGTATTATAGATATCTGTGAAAACGAAGTGAAGGTATGAGAGAGATGGGAGACAGGTAAGACAGGTAAGATAAGAGATTGGTTTACTTGCAGCAAGTGTAAGTTTACATACTTATATGTCATGTGAGACAGATGAGAAAGCTTCAAAGGGAGAACAGTTATGCACACACACACGCAGGCAGAACAGTTTTAATTAAGTGAAACAGAAAGCAATGTGTAATATGGAGCAGTTAGTTGAAACCAAAGGAAGAAGTGAGTGTGTATGTAGGAATTAAAGTAGTATAGGTATTCTTCCCCTTTCTAGGGCGCTGTCCACGATGATTGGAGCAGAGAGGACGATTGGAGGACGGATGGACTGAAGGACCAATAACGGGAGAGTTAAGTCTAAACCACGGCTTCTCCCCAACAGTTTTTGACCAATTAGATAGTAGTACCTTTTCATACAAATATTGTATACCACTAAGTTGAGGTCAGTAATTTCTGTTTATCCTAAACAGTGAAGATCCATGTGCACATGCTAATTTTGATACGTTAATGCATAATAAATTTCACACTGTGAAATATATATCCTCTTCTCTTTTCAATATAAAAAGAACACGCCTCACACTTTACTTTTGACTTTTGTAAACAAATACTTTCCAGTCGATGTCTTGTTGAAAACATAGCATTCGGCATTAACTTTTCTTTTTTTTGGCGTGAGTTGACATTTTGAGGGTTAGCTGGCCAACATCACTTGTCTCTCACCCAGTAGGTCGGGGATCTTAAATTCACCCGTGAACTTTTTTATTCATGTTCTGATTTGATGGACCTCACGCGGGCTGGACAGGGACACCCAAAGGGCTGGATGTGGCCCACGGGCTGTAAAATGCCCAGGTTGCAGAGACTTGAACATGTTATTGGGATTAAAGAAACTGCACTAACTTGGTTCAAATCGTATTTATGAGAAAGATTTCAATTTGTTCATGTTAATGATGAATGTTCCACACAAACAGAAGTTAGTCGCAGCGTTCCACAGGGCTCTGTGTTAGGTCCAATTCTCTTCACTTTATATATGCTCCCTTTAGGCAATATTATCAGGAAGCACCGCATAAATTTCCATTGCTATGCAGATGACACTCAGTTATATTTGTCTATGAAGCCAAATGAATCAGATCAGCTGGTCAAACTTCAAGCATGTCTTAAAGACATAAGGACCTGGATGACCTGTAACTTCTTACTTTTAAACTCTGACAAAACTGAAGTCATTGTGCTTGGGCCTGAAAATGTTAGAAATCTACCGTCTAATCATATAGTTACTTTAGCTGACATAGCTCTCGCCTCCAGTACTACTGTGAGGAACCTTGGAGTCATTTTT